GGCTGTATTCTCAATATACTGAGTGAACAGATATAGAGAAAGGATACAGCCTACATGCACATCCTTACTCACGAATCAGTGAGAGCTAGTTCATTCCCTTTGTTGTTGTTGTTCTTAGGTGCCACTGACTCAATTGTGACTCATAGTGATCCTCTGAACAGCAGATCTGAACCCTGCCCTATCTTTGTTGTTGTTATGTGCCGTGCTGTCAAGTCACCTGCAACTCTTAGCGACCCTGTGTACAACAGTTCTGAAGCCTGCCCTGTCCTGAGCCAGACTCAGTGACCCACATTGCCCCAGTTACTGTATCAATCCATCTCATCCGGGGTCTTCCTCTCCTGCACTGTCCCTCCATCCTTCTGAGCATGATGTTCTTCTCCAAGGACTGGTTGCTCCTGGGAACGTGCACAAAGTGTGTGAGACAGAGCTTCAAAATCCTAGTTTCTAATGAGAAACTTGGTTTTATCCTCTCCAAGACAGACTTATTTGTTTTCTTGGCAGTCCGTGGTATGTTCAAGGCTCATTTCCAGTACCACACTCAAAGACATCGATTCTTCTTCTGTCATCCTTTGTCATTGTCCAGCTCTCTGATGCATAGCAAGTAATTGCGAAGACCATGGCCTGGATTAGAAGCACCTTAGTCTCTAGACTGACATCGTTGCTTCTCAGTACTCCGAAGATGTCTCTGATAGCAGATTTTCCCATTGCAATTTGTGTTTTGATTTCCTGACTGTTGGTGCCAAAAGGGCCTTACACCATCCTACTTACCTCAAATTATTGTTCTAGTCATTGTATCAATCTATCTCACAGAAAGTCTTCTATTTCTCTTACTCTCCACTCTTCCAAGTATAATGTCTCTTTCCAAAGACTGGTCCCTCCTAACAACATGCCTGAAATATGTGAGATGAAGTTTCATAAGCCTTGCCTCGAAAGAGCACTCTGCTTGCATTTTCTCCAAGACATATTTGTTTGTTCTTTCATCATCTATGGGATATTCAGTACTCTTCTCCCATACCACAGCCCAAAAGCATAGATTCTTCTGTCATACTTATTCATTGTCCAACTTTCAGATGCATAACAAGTAATGGAAAAGACCATGGCTGGAGTCAGGTGCACCTTAGTCTTTAACTGACATCATTGCTCCTAAACACCTTCAAGAAGTCCTTGACAGCAGATTTTCCCCATCCAATATGTCATTTGAATTCTTGACTGCTGGTACCAAAGTTGATTATTAATCCAACCAAGATGAAATCATTGACAACTTTATTATTTTTTTCCATTTATCATGATATTGTCAGTTGGTCCAGTGGTAAGGATTTTTGTCTCCTTGATGTTGAGATATAATCCATAGGGAAGATCTTCTTCATAAAGTCCAGCCTCTCAAGGGATTTGCTCAGCATCTAGATTGAATAGGTATGGAGAAAAGATGTAGCCCTGATGCACATCCTTCTTGATTTTAATCTATGCAGTGTTCCTTTTCTTTGGTTGGATAGCAGCTTCTTGATCTAGGTATAAGTTTTACATGAGCACAATTAAGTGTTCTTGAATTTTTACTTTTCTCAATGTTAACCATAATTGGTTATGATCCACATAGTCAAATTTTGCATAGTCTATAAAATGCAAGTAGACATCCTTCTATTGTTCTCTGCTTTCAGCCAAGATCCCTCCTAAATCTGACTTCAGTCTATCCACAGCTGTTAGGAGACACTGGTGGCCTAGTGGTAAGAAAATGCTCTGCAATGTGCTGCAATCCCAAAGGCACTCAGTTCAAATCCACCAGCTGCTCCTCAGGAGAAAGATGGGCAATCTCGTCTCATGCTTTTAAACTGTCTCTGAAAACCCATCGGAAGATCATCTATGGGTCAGTCTCAACTTGATGGTACTCAGCACAGCTGCTGGGATCTCAGTAGTTGGATCCTCTGGACCCAGTTATTTATCTCCTCTAGACTTTCTAGAATTTCTTTGCAATTACTTGCAATGCATCAGAGAGCTGGACAATGAATAAGGATGACAGAAGGATTGATGCCTTTGAGTTGTGGTGCTGAAAAAGTCTTGAACGTCGCATGAACTGCCAAGAAAACAAATAGGTCTATTTACAAGTGGGTGAAAGTTTCTTCTTGGAGGCTAGGATTTTGAAGCTTAGTCTCACATACTTTGGGCACATGGTCAGGAAGGACCAGTCCTTGAAGAAGGGCATCATGCTCAGAAAGGTGGAGAGACAGTGCAGGAGAGGAAGACCCTGGATGAGATGGATTGATACAGTAAGTAGGGCAATGGGGGTAGGTGTGTCAGAGTCAGTGAGATTGGCTCAGGACAAGGCAGACTTCAGAGTTGCTATGTATAGGATCACCATGGGTTGCAGGCAACTAGACAACACGTAAAAACAACACAATGATAACAGTCTTTCTACATCAATTATTTTCAACCAGAAATTATTTTACCCTGGAGATATTTAACAATATCTGGACATATTGTTGGTTGTCACAACTGAGGTGTATGGATTTAAGGGGGTGCTATCTGCATTATGCAGATGACACATCCTTCCTTTCTGAAACTGAGGAAGACCTGAAGCATTTGCTGCAGAAGGTCAAGGACTGTAGTCTTCAATATGGATTGCACCTCAACATCAAGAAAACAAGGATTCTCACCTCTCGGCCAATTGGCAGCACCATGATAGATGGAGAAGAGATTGAGATTGTTAACAATTTCAGCTTGCTAGGGTCTACTATCAACACTCTTGGCATCAGTGGTCAAGGAATCAATAGATGAATTGCATTTGGAAAATCTGTTGTCAGGGATCTCTCCAGAGTGCTAATGAGCAATGATGTCAGTCTGGAGACTAAGGTGTGCCCTATCCAGGCCATGGTCTTCACAATTACTTACTTTGCATCCAAGAACTGGACAATGACCAAAGATGACAGAAGAATTGATGCTTTTGAGTTGTGGTGCTGGAGAAGAATACCATGGAATACTAAAGAGAACTAACATATATGTTATCTGTATGTATCTTGGAAAAGGTGAAACCAAGTTGCTTCTTGGAGGCAAGGATTTTGAGGCTTAGTCTTACATACTTTGGGCATTTGCCAGGAAGGACTAGTCCTTAAAGGATATCATGCTTAGAAGGGTGGAGGGGCAGCACAGGAGAGGAAAATCTCAGATGAGATGGCTTGATGCAGTAACAAGGGTAGCTTGGTAACTGAGGGTAGATGTATAAGAGACAGCAAGATTGGCTCAGGATAGAGAAGGGTTCAGAGCTTTTGTGCTGTGCACAGGTTCGCTATGAGCCATAGTTGACTTAAGGGCACACAGCAAGAGCTACAACTGGTGGCTATTGAGCAGAGGCCAAGGAAGCTGCTAAACATTTTGCAATGCATGTTGTTTTTGTTGATTGCTTTCAAGTTGAGCATGACTCACAGCGACACTATGAACAAAAGGCCTAAAGCCTTTCTATAACAATCTCGTCATTTATCAAAGTTCATAGAGTTTCCAGGGGCATGTTGTTTAGGAAGTGGATGCCACTCCTGCTTCCAAACCTGTCTTAAACTGGGAGCACTTCCAAACACTGTCCATCATGGGTAACCATTATGGCATTTGACCCACAATAACACAAGGTTCAGCATCACAGCAATCCCAAGTTACCTCAGTACAGCATATTGACAGAAGAGTGCTATACCACTTAGAAGAATGTTCCTCCAAAATATAATAACAACTGACTTTTAAATACAAAGGCCCTTCTTGAGGTCTTATTGACTCTAAACAAGAGGCTTAAATAAAAAACAGCCAATATAGTATGTTTTTGTTGTTATATGCCACTGAGTCATCTGCAACATATGGCAACACTAAACCCTTCCCTGTCCTGAGCCAGTCACTAATTCTGACACACTAACATCCATTGCCCCAGATACTGTATCAATCCATCTCATGCAGGGTCTCCCTCTCCTGCACTGCCCATCCATCCTTCAGAGCATGATGTCCTTCTCTAAGGACCAGTCTCACCTGGCCATGTGCCCAAAGTAAGTGTAACAGAGCTTTAAAATCCTAGCCTTTAAGGAGAGATTTGGTTTCACCCTCTCCAAGACAGACCTATTTATTTTCTTGGGAGTCCATGGTATGTTCAAGACTCTTCTCCAGCACCACAAAGGCATTGATATCTTCTTCTGTCGTCCTTTTTTATTGTCCACCTGTCTGAATGCATAGGACAGCCTTTACAACAAAGCATTAACCAGTCCAAAATGTCAGTAGTTTCAAGGTTGAAGAGTCTTTAAGGCTAAGGGAATTTTCCTGGGTTTAATAGAACTTGAATGAGGTTAGGGTTAGAGCAGGCATTGGTCGAGAAGAGATGTTCCTTCTTGGAGATGCTAGGCAGCTATAGTCGTCATCATGTGATTGAGTTGGAACCACAGAGCTGACCCTCCAGCTGGTTTTCAGAGACAGTAAGTCACACAGGAGATTGTAATTCTCCTGCAGAGCAGCTGGGGGATTGTACACAGTACCTGTAGGATTGCAGTGCAGCTTCTTATCACTAGGCCACTAGTGCCTCCTAGGCAACTGTAGAGGCAACCTGATAATGGGCCACTCCTCCATTAACAGATACACACGGATAGGACTTGGAGAAAGTGTGGCCAGAGTGCTCCATAAAGGCAAGGATGGCAACGCTTTGTCTCACATACTTTGGGCATGTTGTTAGCAGGAGCTGTTCCTTGGAGAGGGACATCATGCTCGGAAATTGGATGGTCAGATAAAGAGAGTAAGACTTCAATGGGATGGATCAACACAGTGACTGCAGCAATGGACTCAAGTGTGTCAGGGATGATGAGAATGGCACAGGATAGGACAGGGTTCAGATCTGCTGTTCGTATAGTTGCTATGAATTGTATTCTACTAGACAGTACCTAGCAGCAACAACACAACCATCCACAAAAAGGGCCACAGGGCAGTTCTCTCCTCATTGTCAGTGACCAAAGGACACCGAGAAAGAAACCAAGAAAAACAAAGCCAGCTTCTTTATATGTATTATATTTTTCATTAATAAATAAGTTTTCTTCTTTAAACACAGAACTTACAATGGATTGAAACACTCCCCCCACCCCCCATTCCAAGGCAAGAGTCTATAAAACAAATGCCAACTGTACTGCCCAAGGGGCAGAAAAAAGTCTGGTGACCCCCACCCAGCTCTGCCCCTGCAGCACCACCACCCCTACACTCAAGAGAAGGGGTTCTGGGGGCTTCTCCCTTGGACCCTGGGGACTTAGGTGAGAAGCATGTGAATGTATGATGCCACCTCTCCATGAGGCTTGGGCTATGCAAAGGTGAGGCTTCCTTCTCATTGGCTCTGACCAGCTCCTGCCCTTCTGATTTGTTATGAAGCACCTGAGCTAAGCTCCCAAAGGAGCTGCTTCTTGGCTTCCCTGCTCTCCACTCCCCTGTCACCTTCTCAGAGGGGAAGGAAAGGGCTTAGCGACCCCTTCCATCCCCTGGCTGCATGGCAACACTGTGTGGAAGAGGCATGATGCTGAAAGTGAGGCTCCTGTACGCCCCAAAGTCCAGTAGACCAACATGCCCCCATTCCCCCACATCTTTCCTTCTTTTGGAGTGGGGGACACCAGGGCTGCTGCCCCCTCCACTACCTAGTGCCTGGCTTGGGGTGTGATGGTTCTCTCTGTGTCAGGTCCTCATGCCAGGCCTGGTTCCTTCCTTGTCTCATTCCTGTCTCCTTCCAAGCCCTCACCGTGGCCATCTGAAAAACTCATGTCCAATGTCCTAAAGTGTCTCATCCTCCCTCTCTCCCTGTGCCTCTACTCCCCAAGGGAGGAAGTGGGAGGTTGTCTCCCCTCTCCAATCCCCACGTCACATAATGGAACAGCTTTTGGCCTTTTCCTTTTTGAAGGTGGAAGAGATGAGTTCAGAGCGACTGGGGAGGTGTAGCAGTCGTTTGGAGAGGCTTCGGACAGGGCTCTTCGGGGGAACTGGGCTGGCTTTGTTCAGACACACCATGGATGCCGTCCGAAAAATGCTGTGGACACTCTTTTCTGAGGTAAAAGCTGAGCCTTCCAGATAGATTTCTGCACCCAGCTGCTTGGCTATTGCACAGCCCTGTAGGAGGAGGTGAGGCCATTAGCACACTGGTCCAAATTGTCTTCTGACAGTTTCCCACTACCACCCTGTACTAATTATTTTTCTGAAAGTGAAGCCTGATTGCATGTCACAATCACCCGCAACATATTTAAAAACTTATGGATAGTTGTATTGCCTAATGTTTTTGGTGTATATATGTTTAGTATAATGGAAACATAAGGTATGTCTGACCAGGGAAATAAAAATTACTATGGGTAGAGTCTAGGCATTAGTACATTTAGGAATTTCCAGGTAGTGATTCTAATGTGAAGTATGGGTCTAAGGCATTGATTAGTCTTTTTTTCTATGTGTGTAAGAAATTATCCAGGGATCTCGTTTAAAATGCAGGCCACCATATTTTCTCCCAAGTGAGTCTGTATGTAAGGTACCAAGCATTTGAAATCTGAAAGTACTCTGAATAAACAGAATGCATCTGAGAAACATAGGACTGTCTCACCATTCTAACACATGTAAACAACTAGGTAAATAAGTACTCCTACCATCTCTATCTAGGTGATTAATTTATAATTACAGATGGCCCCTCTAATACAAATTCTCTCTTGCAATAGTGGGAAAGTTTCAGCAAGGGCCCTTTTCTGAGCCTTATTTATAACTATTCTCACCCCCTCTCCAATTCCCACATCCACAGACCTGCTCATAGGAGATGGGTGCCTGCTTCTGGTGGGACAACTCCATCAGAGTGCTCAGGTCTGTTCGTAGGTCTGTCTTGCAGCCAATAAGCAACACACGGGTACTGGGACAATAATCTAGGATTTCCGTCTTCCACTAAGGCCAGAGCAGAAAGGCAGAAGGGAAAGGGGAAGAGAAAGGAAAGAGAGTTAGCTGACAGACACTCAGAGTAGCCTAGCAGGCATCATCACACCATCTCACTGATCACTGACCCAGTCCTCCCTCTCAGTCGCAACATCACTGCTGCACTAATTACATCATCTTCCTGCCAAGGAAGCCTGTGGGACCATTGAAATGCTGACCCGGAAGCCTGTCCCTTCAGTCAGTGGTCCAGGAACCAGAGATAGCACGTGGGAAGTTCAGTCTTCACCCTGCCAGGAATGCAGGGAATGGACCTGCTACCTCATCCCAGTCAGAGGACTTCACAAGTCTGGACTGTCACAAGAGAAGAAAAACAGTCTCTTCCCAAGGGAAAGAGACAAATGTAGAGTCTTCTGGAAAACTAGGCTAGATCCACAAGGTATCCTAGGACTCCTCAGTAGAGGCAGGCTTCCCACACAGACTCCCCCATTTCCTAACAGCACTTCAACTCAGACCTGGATTGGCTTTCTCAAGTCTTCATCAACCTGGGATCAAGGTTCTATAGAAGCTGCCTCCAATCATATCCTAAGATTCTCTGACTCTCCATCTTTGACTTCCTGAGTCTTCAGCACCACCCTCCATTGTTGGATCTCTGGCAAAATTTAGGACTGTAAAAGAGCACTGGCCAAGGGACAGGAGCTGAGGACAGGAGGACTGGGTTCTAGTGCCAGAGCTGTAGCTAATGGCTGTGGGCAAATCTCTTTTTATTCCAGTGCTGGGCCAGAGACTGTAGTGCATATAGGGCCTTACCTACCTTCTTGAGTGCACTGTCCACTGTCTCAGGACGGCTGATATCAAAGCATAATAATACTGCATCAGAGTCACTGTAGCAGAGTGGGCGGACATTATCATAATAGGGAGATCCTGGGAGAAGAGAGAAGGAGAGAGCCAAAGAAAGGTGAGTCTATCTCCAAAAAGTCTCAAGAACGTAATTCTAAATCCTTCAACCTAGCTGGCCCTACCCATCTCCTATAGATTTGGGATTGACTACCAGCAAGAGGCAAGTCAAGAATACCAGCTTTCTTAATCTTGAAAAAGGGAAAGGAGGCAGGAGGTATGGATCGTAAGGGAAGGGTTTGAAAAACAGGAGGAAGGGCTTGTCATTTGACAGTCTGGGCCTCTGAGAGTAGGCTTTCTCTAAGGTTTGCCGGTTTTCTGAGTGCCTCAGGAAGATATCTTGCTCATGGCATTAGAAGAGTCCAGAGCTTGTCTAAGGCCTCCTCTTCCCTAGAATTGAACTGCTCAAGAGAACTCTGAGCCAAATGTCTTCTCCCTTCTCTTGGTTTAGGGTCTCTCCAAGTGAAGAGACAAACCTGCCTGTTACATAATTGGCTGCCTTGTTTCTCTGACATGGGGTCAGACCTCCAGGGGATTTGTAGAGGGAAGAAAATCAAGAATGTGGTCCAGTCCCTCACCTACCCAAATAAATTCACTTATGCTGAAAAACTGGAGACTTTGCCCTATAGCATCTCAGGGGGGCTATCTCAAAAGCAGGAGCATCAGACACTAGGGGTTTGGAGGCCAGAGAAAGGGTCTTTGGTGGGAAGGCAGTGGGTATTGCCACCCCAGGTGGTTGGATCTGGGAGAAATCTAGGGGCTGAGCCTGCCCCCCTCCACCCTGGAGAAGGAACAGTAGCGGATTTGGAACCCAGACAATCCGTGCTCAGAATAGCAAGCAGCCCCTCTCCCTGCACCGCAATCGCCATGGAAACTGGGGGGAATCCAAGCTGGGGAGGGGTATTTGTTGAAAAAAAAAAAAAAGAGTAAGGGGGAATTGGGCTGGCTGCCTGCTCCTTCAGCTATCCACCCCCATCCCCTTCTGAGGTGGGGTCTTCACAGCCGCACTGAGCGCTGCAGCACTGGGGGAGGGGGAGAAGAGCCTCCATTTTGGCTCCAAGCAGTCCCCCTCCCCTAGGACTAGCACGTGAATAACTGGAACAGGTATTTGCCCTGAGTCAAGAAGCCCAGCCCACACACCTACATCCTCGCCTTCCTTCTGGGGACCTCATTTGAAAGAGAGTTTGTTTGAGGATGACTGATAGCCTTCATCTTTTCAAAAACTGGGGTGGGGGGCGTTCGGCACAGGGAATAGGCGCATCCTTGCTGATTTTCCATGATCAGGATTGGGATTTAAATGGCTCCATTCTGATGGCGGGAGGAGGGGAAGCAGGGAGGATTTAGGGGCAGTGGTAGTGAAAGGAGCAGCAGAAAGGCTGGGCAGGATACAAGGTACACCCGACGAAAGCCACCCAGCACACAGCCCAGCTGCATTTCGAGCCGTCCAGCCAGCAGAGCACAGTCCAGGCTCACCAGACCCTGCCTCCCATCCCCCATCCCTGGAACTGCGACGGAGGGAGGCACACCGAGTGGAGGAAATTAGTTTTTTGTTTTGGGAGGTGGGGGTGGGGATGAGAGCAAGGGGAAGTCTTTTTCTTTTTCTCTACCTATCCCCTACTCTCAACCTTTTCAGACCTCCAAATGGGATCATGGGAACGACAGCCCTTTGGAGAAAGAGCGGCATGTTCATTATATGAAACAAGAATTTACAATTTTGTCTTTAAACTCAGTCTGAATATACATTTTGGGGGAAGAGTAGATTTTCTTTCTCTTATTCTTCTTCTTAGTCCTTAATTATGACTCTGTGCCCAGTCTATTTAAAAAGATTGGGATAAAAAGACAACAGGAGGGGTCAGAATCAAGGCAAAGTATAGCCCAGCACTAAAGGTTTGGGATTTAGAGGCTGGAAAAGCATTCCAGAAAGACGGGGTATCTTTTTCCAACCCCGGTACAAAAAAACCCGTTTGCACCAAGCCCCCCACTCCACCAGCTACGGCTGCAAGCCAGAACGTGGTTATGCCCTATACTGAGCCATCTCCCCCACCCTCCGATGCATCAATGATGCATCGCTTCATCCCTGAGCCGCAGCAGAATGACGAGCGGAGTGGAGCTGCGGCAGGCAGACAGCAGCGGCCCAAGACAAAATGCAGGAGGGAAAACAAAGTCTGAGCAGTATTTCCCCCAAAGCAGGCTAGTTAGTCCCCTGACCCAACCACAACTGTCTTCGGCGGAAGCACCACCTCCTGCTTCTTATGTGGTTATGGACTAGGACAGCAAAGGCTGGGGGGTGTGTGCGCTGGGTGATGGGGAATCAGGGATGGAGAAGACCTCTCTGGCTGCCCCCAGTAATTTATGGATCCATTACCTCACTATCTTATCACACCCTGAGGGATGGCATTAGATCCAGAGAAGTGAGCGACTTCTGGGCTCATTCACTCTTCATTTCTGGACTATCTCCTTCCCTCTAAGGGCCTCAACAACCATGGAATCATCTAATTCCCTTCCTTCAGTTTCCTGGCAAGCATCAAACTCCTTAGTCTGACCTGAGGAAGAAACAATTTCTAGAAGACAGCAGCTGCAGCACATTGGTGGAAGGGGGATTGAGGGGGCCTCTGGGGCCAGTGATCTTACCTGAAGTGTCCCAGAGGCTGAGCTCCACTCTCTGTTCTTCTGTCTCCAAGCAGGCTGTGTAATTCTCAAACACGGTGGGCACATATGTCTGTGAGGAAGAGGAACCATTCTAATCATTGGTGCCCCTATCCTTGTATCAGGTTGGAGTAGGCTACACAAGAAATCAGTCAACCTAGTGAGAAACTCAAGTGGCAGGAAATAAGGGGCCAGAGAAAGGGATACATGGAGCAAGAAAACAGGATGTGCAGAGTCACAAGTACTTTGCTCCAAGTAAAAATATATGAGAGTATCTCCACAAACCCCTCAAAGCCAGGTGATAAGCCCTCTGTATTCTAGATGGTCAGAGAGAAACATACGTTACACTCAGTGCTCAATTTCTCTCTCTCCCAATTTTAGGTCCACAATCCCTTCCTAGCTTTTTCTCTTCTCCCACAGGATCATAGAGCCAAAAGAACAGCAGAAAGGGCAGCACAGCCAGTCCAGGGACATGTTCTTAGAACCTTGGAAGGTGCAGGTGAGAGGAGGGCCAGGTATTACGTCAAGAAGAAACCCCAGACTCTCAAATGCCTCCAGTTCCCTCTCTAGAGAGCAGACATCAGGGATGAAAGGAGGGAGGAGGAGATCTGATCAGGTCTTGTGGGTGAAGAGGTGAGGAGGAGCCAGTGGGGCGGCAGAAGTGGGACAGGTCTCAGGGGACGCCAAGACAGGGCAGTCCTCTCTCCTGAAAACAGATGAGGCTGGGGCAGAAAGCTGGGCCAGGAAGTGGGAGACTGGGGACAGCTACCCAAAGCAGGTGAGAATCTACACCACTACCCCCTAAGCAGATAGGCAGGGAGGAGGGAGCATAGCTGGTCAGCGGGTGGGCAGGCAGGCAGCTCACCTCTGGATAGCAGTCCTTCGCTAACACTTGTAACATTGCTGTTTTCCCACACTGTACATCGCCAACCAGAACAAGTTTACATCTGGCCACGACTGGCTGGGGGGCCCGTCTCTCCTTCATGGTTTTGGCCTCCACGAGATTCACACTTGGCTTCAGAGAGGAGAAGGTAGCGCCAGGTACGCCTCAAGGTGTAAACTCAACCGGTTCCCTGCTTCTCTCCAACTGAGAAGGAGGCAGGCAAAGCCGCTTTATATCTCCCCAGCAGAGCCAATCACATGAGGAAGCGGACTCTGTCACAGCCAATCCTTGAGGAGGGATCCCCTCTTAACAGCCAATGGTAGGAAAATCTGAGTCAGGGCCCTCTTCCTCCTTTCCCTTTCTCTTAAAGCTAAACCAGTTGCCTCTCCTAAAAAGGGGATTCCCACGCTGCTTTTCATTTGTATTAAGGAGGGGGAGGGTATGTGAAGCAAAATTAAATCATCTTCAATGTTCACCAATTAGGGTTAAAAACTATAAGCTATTCATGGAAACAGAAAGTGTGTTGATGCTGGAGTTGTAGGGACTGTTTAGGAGAAGAGAACCTGCTCAAACTTAGAGACACTCAGCACCTTGTGGTAAACCAATTTCTACATCTGGCTTCCCCTCCCAATGTAAATTCCTGTCCTACTCACTTCAAAACCCAAGTTTCTCCCTCAGGGATCACCAGCACTAGGAAGGGAATAAGTCTTCTAGTGTCACCTGAAAAAAAACCTCACACAATTCCTTACCCAGAAGTGGCCACAGAGAAAGTAATGAGAGAGTTTGGCCAGTAAGGGCAGGAGAGAAAATGATAACATAATACAAAATAAACACTGAGTCTGTCTGGCCAGGTAGCCTCTCACTTCATGTTTGGCATGCTTTGTGTGTTTTCGTCCACTTCCTGGATGAATCAGGCTTAAGTCCAGTCCCAGACTGACACCTACTGATGTTACCTCACTACTGTGTGTGTCACCTGTTTAAAGTCCAGACTGAATCTGGTACTCTTGGGATTAGGAAATTAAGGGGAAACCTCCATTGAAATAAGCTACAAAGCTGCCTACCAGTTCTGGCCTTCTGAACTCTAGTTATTATATAGGGAGCTCTGGTAGGACAGATGTTGTTAAGTGCCGTTGAGTCATATGCGACTCAGACTCATAGCGACCTTATGAATGAAAGTCCTCAACACTTGTGTGACTTTCATCCTTTCTCCATGTTCATAGGGTTTCCAGAGGAAAGCTATTACGGAAATGGATGCCACTCCTGCTTCCAAGCTTGTTTTAATTGGGGAGCACCACCAAACACTGTCCGCCATGAGTAACCATTAACACATTTGACACATCAGTGTCACAGTGTTCAGCTTCACAGCAACCACAAATTACCTCTGTATGGCAAGTGGACACACCAGGGCTATACGACCTAGAATATGTGAACAAAAACAATGAAAAACAGGCCCTACAGTATTTTACCATTCCAGCACGCCCAAATTCTGGCGACCTCTGGGCCAGAAACTCCCAGTTCATCTGGCAAGTCTGCTCTGCCAGCACCTACTTGTGACAAAAAGAAAGCCACAAGCGCCTGAGCGTTCCATCCTGGCCTCTCTTCCAGTAGGACAGATAGAATTGGGAAATTATTATACAGAACTCTGGGGTATATTCAGCTCAGACAAAAGCACTCTAGAAAAGGACTCCTGGGCCATGGGGGACTGAAGCAAAGTCAACCTTAGCCATAATTGAGAGCACACCAAAATTTGTTCTGAAGTTAATTCACCTTGTTCAGAAGCCCAGGGCCTCTGGAGCATGTTCTGGTCTTGTTCCATCAGAGATTTACTCTTTTCTGTTTTGTTTTTTGGTTGTTTTTTTTTTTCAGAGATTTACTCTTAATTCATAATCACTGTTGCCCTCTTCCTAGGGATAGTTTCCCTGTTATAAAGGACATTTAAAGGGGAGCTCTGGTGGCCTAGTGGCAAGAAGCTGCAACTACAATTTCAGAGGTGCACAGTTCGAATCCACCAGATGCTCTGCCGGGGAAGGAGGGGCAATCTCCTCCTGTACCAGTCAGATCTGATTTGAC